ATGAATATGCTGCTCTTGCTTTACAAAGGGTCATCTTATACTGCAGTAACTGTTTTACCAGGCTAGGTAGGATTCCTGTAGGCTTGTAGAGCACAATTTTCTTTACAGTTTCCTAGCATTTTGCTTCAAAGTGCACAGCTCTGCATTAAACCAGGGAGTCAGCTTTCTATTTGAAAAATTTTTCTTTTTCAAAGGGGCTGCGTTGTCTAAGGCAGAACATGGAGAACTTGTAACCCCATCAACAAAATTATTCAACTGTGCAGGGGAATAAACAAAACTAAACTTCTGCAGCACTAGTCAGTGACATAGAGGATAGAAAAAAGTTAAACAGATTTTTTTTATTTTACAACTGATAATGATCCAGTTGTGTATTGGCGAAAGGTGGGTTCCACCTTTGACAGGTCACCTGTCCATCGCAGGGCAACAGAGATACACATGCTGATGCCATAGAACTCAAGAACCCCTCTTCAAGTAACATTTAATTCCTTAAGATACATATTTCGTCGTAGGATCAGATTTAAAGCTTTTTTATAGAATGCTATATTTTCTAATTGTCTAAAAACCTCCTCATAGTTAATTGTATCTTTTACCACAGTATAAATGCCTTTCATAGCAGCTGCTTTAATAACAATAGATTTTTTTTTTCAAGCTCTGTCAGTGCGTAAGACTAAAGTTCAAGACATGGTCTGAATTTGGTACTAAGCTTTGGTGCAAATTCAAACTAGAAGGCTTTTACCTACTACCTCTAACCTGAGTTCCATGAGTTCACTGAGTTACGAGTTAAGGCCAGTGGCCACTCACTAGCAGAATACCAACTCCCCTCTTGAGACTGCGATTACAAAGACAAAGAAACTCAGTTTGTGTTATCTCTCTAAATCACTTTACTGTCTGCAGTTGCTCATGTTCAACTCACCATTAATGACTCATTAAAACTCATTAAATGGCAAAGTACAATGTCCCTGTTCCTTTCCTGCTTTATCTGTTACTCCTCACCAATACTGAAAGTAGTTCTTCTCAAAGTGTCAAGGTTACACTATCAGTAACCTCTGCCTCAACTGTTTCCTGATCACCGGCAATAAAACCTATATCATGCTTTTTTATATTTACAATTCAGCATTCAGGGGAAAAAAACTTGCCAATCTTTTGTCCATCCCAAATGAACAGTTGGAGAAAGACTTGCTGGATAAGTCAAATCTCAACATTTTGTAAATACTAACTATAAACAAGAGAGTATTCCTAATTTCCTTTAAAGTCTAGGGTTTTATAAATGTTCTATGTCTCTAGTTTGTATTTATTTTCAGGAGTGCATTGAAATTGTATTCTTGCTGCTAGGAGCAAGTAGTGGACTTTCACAGAAGCAGATCCACCCCACTAACACCAGTGAACATCCAGGGAACGGACATTGAGATACTGGACTCTTATCAGTAAATGGGTAGGCCTATTGACCTGAACAACAAACTGGACAGGACTCACAACACTGAGGCTCTCTAAAAGAAGGGTCAGAGCAGACTCTGAGAGCAGACTCCTCTGCTGAGGAGCCTGAGGTTTTTTGTAGTGCAGGGGGCACTCTTGAAGACCTTCTTTCACTCTGTTGTTGCATCAGACATCTTCTATGGAGCTGTCTGTTGGAGCAGTGCCTTATCTATATAGCTGAGAGAACTGGGTAGGCTCATCAGGTGGGCCAACTCTGTGGTTGGATTCCCTCTGGACCCTAGCTAAAATTACACATCTGTTAGATAATGTCTCCCATCCCTTGCATAAAACTGTCGCTGAACTTAAAAGCTCCATCAGAGAGAGACAGCTGCACCCTACAAATGCTCCAGGGAGGGTCATCACAGATCCTTCCTCCCAGCAGCTGTAAGACTCCATAACCATCACTGTTCCCAACAACCACAATAAGTTGTTACATTCATGCTGATGTTTGCACAGTTCCTGTCTTGGTCAATTATATAACATGCGGCTGTCATTTCTGCACATCTCTGGTGCTGCTGCATTTTTTCACATAACTCTTACTGTAAAAATTTCCACAGCTGTATGTTGATTATTTATTCCCCAGCTACAGTATTTATAATGTAAAAACACTGAACAGTACATAATTTCCTTTGTTTATTTTATAAACTATCACCTATTATCTGTTATGTTATAGACCTTTTTAAGGTCCACATTTGTAAGACCACTTTTGCAATAATCTTTTTTTCTACTGAAACACCACAATTTCCAAAATGTGGGACAATAAAGTGATTATCTATCTACTCTTCTATTCATTAATGAAACAATTGAACATGTGCAATGGGCTTCTGTAAGCTTGAATGTTCCCATTCTTTTATCTTTATTTAACAACAATAAAGTAGTGAATTGGTCCTCAAGAATTTTGTCCACTTTTAGAATTAGCCCAATACAACATTTTTATCTCTCACTAACCCTCCAAACCGGTTTTCTTAACATATGCTTAGTAATCATTTTTTTTCTCAGCAGGTTTCTTTAGTGAGTTGCTGAGGTAATTCAGTGAATTGCTTAGTTGTTTTTTTTTTGTTGACAAAGTATTCCTGTGAATGTCTAACAGCATTGAAACTGAGGTGGTTTCTGAAATGTCCGTAATGTCTGGTAAAAAATGTCTTACAGCGTTGTTACTAGGTTTACTTGGAAACATGGTGGGAACCTTTTGGGCAAAAGGCATGCACCAATGTACATGAGTCTGGCATCAGTTCCACAACAATTGGGATGTTTGAGTGTAGGTTAAGAAATGTATGCATGGGTTTGTACATCGCACTTTTTCTGTGTGCTTCTTTCCAAATGTCTTGGCATGGCAAACCACTAACTCAAGAGAGATAATTGCTGATTTCTAAAGAAACAGAACTCAACTTCTGTGTAGTCCAAGACCTTTATTAACTTTAGCAGGATCTTTATGTGCTATAAATACACCACATGTAGCTAAGGTAGCTAAAGAGCTTGTTGATCATATAGTAGTGCTGAGGGGCTGACAGTCAAAGAGGAAGCCACTGGATCTCTTTAGCCTATATAAGGCAAATTTATTGAGAACATCGAACATGGCTTACCAAAGAGTTAATTCTAGGACAATGGTCTGCATCTTCAGGCCTCAAGATCAAATACCCATCTTTTAGGTACATCCCTGATCCAACACAATTGAATCAAATGATTATCTCCTTAGCATGCTGTCAGGTTTCACAAAGGCTCTGTACAGAGCCACTGATTTGATTCAGGTTTGTTGGAGGAGAGATGTACCTCAAAGTTTCAGGGTAGTAGATCTCGAGGTCTGGAGTGTGACACCACTGTTCTAGGGTATAGAAAATTACATCTTTGTCACTCTGATGAGGATGAAAAAAACACTTCTTAGCAAGATTTTTACAAAGTGTGGTTGTTGTTTTGGACTGTTCCTTATAATGTGAGTGATGGAAAACCAAACTTCGTTGTGCACACTAACAACGTCTGGTCATTAAAGCTGGTTCTAGTTATGCTTACTCTTCTTGTAGAGAATCAACCAAAAGCAAACATATGTCAGTGAAGCTTAACTGTCACATGTCCTGCTCCCACCAATCAGAAACATTCCTGTAATTCTGTCTCAGATTAAAATATAGTCTGAAAAAAAATTATTGATGGGGCTATCTAAAGTTAGAATGATGCCAAATCGAGATAAATTAGCAATTGCTCTTTCCTGATTATCTCAACTTGAAATATTGGGCTTTACTTAAGTGATCGTTTCTTTTCCTCTCTGCTAAATTAAAATTTTAAAATCAGAAAAAGACCATCAAGATAAATTTAGTATGCAGTTTTTATTGTTGATTTAACACATTTTAAAGAGAAATTGTTTAAACTAAACTATGTTAAATAAAAGTACAAGATAAGTCAATCCATTTATAAAATCTAATGGCAGTAACATGTGTATTAAAAATGACAATAAAGTTTGACTAAATCTAAGTAAGCTGACATTTTGGGGTAAAATGACACACTGGGTTTGCACATGTTTAGATTAAATAAAAAAGAATTTGAATGACAAATATAGCATGTAAAAATAAGAAAATAAGTAAAATGAGGATGTAGTCAAAATATATAATTTTCTTGAATAAAAGCACAGAGACGGAAAAAAGTAAAAGTATAATTGAAACATAATTCTTAAGTGAAAAAAAAAAACAGTACTGATTCTACATTGTACTCATGTACAAAATTAAAATGTTTTTTGTCTTAAAAATACTGTTAAAACTGTTAAGAAGTTATATGCACATAAAATCTGTTAATAATCTTCTTTTGTTCACTGAGGTGGTAAAGAGAACATGAAAATGACATCTAATTCTGTTCTACATAAAGTTTCAGGCATCATAGAATACAGTAGCTTTAACTCAACAGAAGTCGGACATAAGATGTTGAATACTTCTTAAAACAAGAAGATGGCATTTCGATTACAACTTGTAATATAATCAACATTTATATTTAAAATCTATTTAAACGAATGGAATGAGATTGTCTTCCATCCCAGAGTCGAATCCATTTTCTGCAATGCTTCCCAGCCGCTTGTCATCATCCATGTTCCTTTCAGTAACTTTATGCAAACTAACTGTGCTCTACCTGGACAGATTATCTTGCATTTTTGATTTTCCTTTGTTTTGTTGTGGGTGTTATATGTCGTTAACAATTTGTATAGAAATAAGGAAAGAAAGTACAAAGTAGAAAGCAGAGATATTGGAGTTAAAATGTAGAGATTAAATTAAAAAGTTATTTTGAGTACTATACAATACATCTAAAACTCTACATTTTTTCCAGCATCTTAACCTGATCCTCCTAACATAAAGTATGTTCAGAGGATACAAATAAAGGGAATGACATATCACAGTTCATAATTCTACAACAAAATTTTTGTTTCAGTTTGGGAAACCTGTACAAAGAGGAGCTAATTGCATGTCTGTTTGGAAAGTCCAGAGGTCCAAAGGTATGACTAAGTTCCCTCCCACAGCAGAGGAAGGGTTTAAAACCACTCTGCAGAACATCTCTGCCTTTCTAACTTTGGTCTCTGCCCTCAACGGACCAGCTTCTCTGCCTATCTTTATCAATTCACTCTGATATTCTAATTTTATTTTATTTCAGCAAAAGCCTTCAGAATGTCTACCAGGACCAGAATCACTTCCGTCAGCCGCTCTGCTCCCTTAAGGAACTTTAGCAGCAGCTCTTACTCATCTGGAGTCTTCGCTCCCCGCATGTCCAGCTTTAGCAGTGTGGGAATGGGTAGTACTAGAGCACATGGCATATCTATGTACTCGGGAAGAGGTGAGATGAGTCAAGCCCCCATCACTGCTGTCACTGTAAACAAGAGCCTGCTGGTCCCCATGAATTACCAGATTGACCCAACAATTCAAGCCGTTCGCACCAATGAGAAAGATCAGATCAAGGGCCTTAACAACCGCTTTGCCTCCTTCATTGACAAGGTAAGAGGCTAGAGGAATTATTTAAGTGTAGTTCACGGTTCAGTTGAAGTGTGTAAAAGATGTTTTATAGCTCTGTCAATGTTATGCAACTGTGGATTGCAAACACATGTTTGTTTCATTTCATTTCCTTCTGATTATATGAGTTTTTCCTTGAATTTGGCCAGCACTTCCTCCTGCTACATTCACACACCCACTTACACTCGCAAACACTCCAACCGGTGCACACATCTGTACAGTACATATAAGGAAATTGCATTACCATCTCTTAACTAAATGCATTAAGTTTTTGCCACCAAGCAGTCATGCAACAACAGCAGAGTGGAAAAACTTGATTTTTACGGGAAGAAAGCTTCAGCAGAACCAGGCTCAGAGTGAGTGGCCTTCTGCAGAGGCCTAATGGGGGTTCAGAAGACAGAAACAGGCAAACAAAAAGAACATGAAAGCATTGATCCATTAATACTTTTTATGTTATGCTATGTTATGCTCGATGGGTGGCTCTGTTTTGAATAGAAAAATGAACCCTTTCATTTCAAATTAATGTTTGTCTTTTTTAACTAGAAGTCTGTTGATCATTAAAAGTCTTTCTGTACCTCAGGAAATACTACAAATCTCTATTGTGAGAATAAAGGAGCAATTTAAGAATAGTCCAGTCCAGAAATAAGCAAAGATTCACATGTTACTTCAGCATTACAAAGCAGTATTGTTAAACATGTTACAAATCTTTTCAATTGTTGCTCTCCATTTTCAAAATTCAAAACATGCTCATTTTGGCAGAGACAGCAAAAAAAATTTCCACCCCTAGGGCCACTAGGTTACAGGTGATTTTTAATTCACAGGTGACCTTGGTGATTAGCTTTGACACTTGAAAAGGGAGGCAAGTTGTTCCTTTGTTTAAGAGAGAGAATCAACACTCTGAGTTCAGGTTCCTGGTGAAAAGATGCTCACTGGCAAGGTATCAATATTCCCTTTTCTGAGACTATGACCAAACATAGATAAATACAAATAGACTTTATCCATAGTCTGTGTTATCTTTCTAAATAACTTTATTGTCTGCATTTACTCAAGTTAACTCATCATTATTGTAACTCATTAAAAATGCAATGTCCTTTCACTATTACAGGTGCTGGTCATAAAATTAGAATATCATGAAAAAGTAGATTGATTTCAGTAATTCCATTTAAAAAGTGAAACTTGTATATTATATTCATACATTACATACAAACTCATATATTTCAGATGTTTATTTTGTTTAATTTTGATGATTACAAATGACAACAAATGAAAATCTCAAATTCATCATATCAGAAAATTAGAATATTGTGAAAAGGTTCAAAATTGATGGCCCCTGGTGCCACACTCTAATCAGCTAATTAACTCAAACCACCTGCAAAAGCCTTTAAATGGTCTTTCAGTCTAGTTCTATAGGCTACACAATCATGGGGAAGACTGCTGACTTGACAGTTGTCCAAAAGACGACCATCGACACCTTGCACAAGGAGGGCAAGACACAAAAGGTCATCGCTAAAGAGGCTGGCTGTTCACAGAGCTCAGTGTCCAAGCACATTAATAGAGAGGCGAAGGGAAGGAAAAGATGTGGTCGAAAAAAGTGTACAAGCAAGAGAGATAACCGCACCCTGGAGAGGATTGTGAAACAAAACCCATTCAAAAATGTGGGGGAGATTCACAAAGAGTTGACTGCAGCTGGAGTGAGTGCTTCAAGAACCACCACACACAGACGTATGAAAGACATGGGTTTCTGCTGTCGCATTCCTTGTGTCAAGCCACTCTTGAACCACAGACAGCGTCAGAAGCGTCTTGCCTGGGCTAAAGAGAAACAGGACTGGACTGCTGGTGAGTGGTCCAAAGTCATGTTCTCTGATGAAAGTAAATTTTGCATTTCCTTTGGAAATCAAGGTCCCAGAGTCTGGAGGAAAAGAAGAGAGGCACTTCATCCACGTTGCTTGAAGTCCAGTGTAAAGTTTCCACAGTCAGTGATGGTTTGGGGTGCCATGTCATCTGCTGGTGTTGGTCCATTGTGTTTTCTGAGGTCCAGGGTCAACGCAGCCACATACCAGGAAGTTTTAGAGCACTTCATGCTTCCTGCAGCTGACCAACTTTTTGGAGATGCAGATTTCATTTTCCAACAGGACTTGGCACCTGCACACAGTGCCAAAGCTACCAGTACCTGGTTGAAGGACCATGGTATCCCTGTTCTTAATTGGCCAGCAAACTCTCCTGACCTTAACCCCATAGAAAATCTATGGGGTATTGTGAAGAAGAAGATGCAATACACCAGACCCAACAATTCAGAAGAGCTAAAAGCCACTATTAGAGCAACCTGGGCTATCATAACACCTGAGCAGTGCCACAGACTGATCGACTCCATGCCACGCCGCATTGCTGCAGTAATACAGGCCAAAGGAGGCCCAACTAAATACTGAGTGCTGTACATGCTCATACTTTTCATGTTCATACTTTTCAGTTGGCCAACATTTCTATAAATCCTTTGTTTTTATTGGTCTTCAGTAATATTCTAATTTTCTGATATGATGAATTTGAGATTTTCATTTGTTGTCATTTGTAATCATCAAAATTAAACAAAATAAACATCTGAAATATATGAGTTTGTATGTAATGTATGAATATAATATACAAGTTTCACTTTTTAAATGGAATTACTGAAATCAATCTAGTTTTTCATGATATTCTAATTTTATGACCAGCACCTGTACTCCTTCACTACACCGAATAGAAAAACTAGCTCTACAGCTAGATTATCACACTTTCAGTCACCCTGTCTCCACCTTTTTTTGATCTTCTCTTATCAAATCTATGTTGTGCCATTAAATGTGTTATCTTTATGCAGAAAACAAAACTTTGCCACTCCTTTTTACAACCCTTTTGAGAACCTGTAGAAAGGTTAATTTGACTTCTAACTTTATCTCTGCTTTTTTTAAATACCCACTTTTCTATAGTTTTGATTTGTAGTTTATTTTTTCAGAAGCTGTCTATTTTAGTTGTTAAAATGTGAGCTGAATGTTTTCTATCTAAAGAAACCCACCTGATTTCATCCAATCACTGATTTGTATAATTCACTTTTGATGAACGGAAAACTGATTGTGTGTCTATTTCTGTAAAAATTAAGAGTTTGAGCAATTTCCCTTGTGTCTTTTATTAAATTAATTTCAATTCACTTCAGTTTATCTATATAGTGCCAATTTAAAACACATGTCACCTTAAGGCAATTTACAGAGACAATTCCACCAGATCATAAAGTCAAACTGATTCAAAGTTTCTATCTACGGACAACCAGATGATTGCATCAACTCTTTGACTCAAAGGCAATCCCTCACACCAAGCAGTATTGACCAGTTTTAAAAAGGGTACTCAAATACAGTGACAACATTGCACTGAAAAAGGCATAGCTTTATTTTTTATTTTTTCAGAGATACACAGAAATGTGAAAAAGGTCATATTAATCAGTCTAATTTTTCCCTGTGATATATTGAGTACCGGTACTACAAATGGAAGCAAAAGGTTTTGTAGCTTTCTTCAGATGACATCTCATGCAAAGCAGTTCACTAAACCACAAGGCTGTTTTTTTTTTTAGATGATTTCCAATAATTAGTTCACATTAATAATTTTTGTGTGAATCTGATGAAAAATATAAAGGCACAAGTTTTCCTGTTTCATAAACCTAGTGCTTTAAAGGTAGTACAAATCACTGACCAGGTTTTCATCCAAGCTATCAGTCATTACTTTTCATTCAACCACCTGAGGACACGGAGAGCAGGTAAAATAACACACATAAAAAGGAGCTGCATTAGTCATTACAGTCTCTCTTACTATAAATGTCTTTACAAAGGATGGAAAATAGACACTGAGATTAATAGATTTTTTAAATTATTATGCTTGCCTTAAAGTCCAAGCCAAGAATTTAAGCCAAAAGTATTACTCTTTTTGTTTTTAGACTTAGATGCTTTTGCCCCAAAGTTGTGTGACTCATTGAGAAAATCTTCATCAGTTCAGGTTCAGAGACTTCAATGCTGTCCTGATCATGGGATCCAAATCAAATGATATGACTGAAACTAGGACATCACCAGTGAGAGGTTATACTAATAAAAAAAACATTAACATAGTGTTAATTGATCTAGATCTGGTAAAAGGCTTGTTTAGGTAACATCTTAATTTAAACAATGCTTATCAAAATTTCCCTTTCATGAGAAAGAAAAATGAATCAGCCAATAAGAAAAAAGAAATGTCTGTATTCATTACCCATTCTTGTAGAAAGGTGATTTTATTATCTTAAGGTTAACTGATTTTTTTTCTTCCTTTGTCTTCACACTAGGTTCGTTTTCTGGAACAAGAGAACAAAATGCTAGAAACCAAATGGAATTTGCTCCAGGAACAGACTATCATTCACTCCAACATTGATGCAATGTTCGAGGCCTACATAGGCAACCTACGCAAACAGCTGGACAGCCTGGGTAGTGAAAAGAATAAGCTGGAGGGGGAACTGCACATAATGCAGGGCCTGGTGGAGGACTTCAAGGGAAAGTGAGTTACTATAAGAAATAATGAGGGGAGGTTTTTGTTTATTGTTCAAAGATATTTCATAACTTGTTGTCCTGTCTCAGATATGAAGAAGAAATCAACAAACGCACAGATTGTGAGAATGACTTTGTTGTTATCAAGAAGGTAATGCTTGTTCTCTGTAAAGCAGGCTTAAATCAATCATCATTTGCACTATTTTCCACATCAGAAGCCAACATCACCTCCTATAAATCCTGTTTCTTCCAGGATGTGGATGAGGCCTACATGAATAGGGCTGAGTTAGAGGCCAAGATGGAGAGTCTGACAGATGAGATTGACTTCCTCAGATCGATCTATGAGGAGGTATGAAAAACCCTGGCTTGTTTGTGTTAACTTGTTTATTCTTAGCACTCTTTTCATCATTGTTTAACAGTAAATCCTGTCAGATTATGTGGTGTATTTTATTAAAATGCTTGGTTTTTGAGCTTGTTTCTCGCTTGCTGGGTGAAATTGCTGCTTCTCTAGTGCACCTTCACCTCAACCCTGTGCTATCTATTGTGCTTTAAAGGAGACATATCATGCTTTTAAATCCTTTATTCTACCATTTAAAAATTTGCATTCTTGTCTATGTAAAGCGGAACTGTAATCTGAATACTTCATATTTGCAGCCCCTCAAGTGCATGTATTACTAAAGGGGGGGTCTGACAGCAACTCGTTTAGGTGCGGTCTCTTTAAATGCAATTGGTACTTCACAGCCCATCCCCCTTCAGTCATAAAGCATTCTGCTTGAGGTTTTTTAACCATATTTTTAATTTGAAATTGGAGATTCGAGTATGTCAGCTCAGTTGATCTGGTTCAGGCCTACTCTGTACACCCAAAACTATAACTGAACATGGAGAAGCAGCATTTGGTTCCTTTGCTCAACTTATTTGGAACAAAATCCGAGAAGACTGTAAAGTCAAAGTTAAAAACGAATTAGTTTTGAACAGTCTTTGACTGCTGACCCCTAAACTGAGGTATTATTCGTTTAAGTTTGTTGTCCAAGTGTTTTTATTTTCTTTACTAGTTGCTTTTGTCAGGTTTTTATCTTAACTTGCTTTATTCTGCTTTTATTTTCATTCTATTTGATTGTTTAAGTGATATAAAGTACTTGCCTTGCCTTGCCTTATGTAGCATCATAAAATGTGGGGGTAATGAATTGTGTAGGTTAATACATAATAATAGTCCTCATCTTTGAGGAATATAAAATAGCAATGAACGCTGGCATTTTTAATGACACATTTGATAGTAAATTATTTGATTGTGACTGATAGTGGGTGCGCTGCTAACTTGCTAAAGATTAACTTGAAATCGAGATTATATAAAGCTGCACCTCAGTCTTGCGTGTATGATCTTTAGCTATCTGGACTCTCCGCCGACTTTGCGGCACTCCCTGTTACAAGACTGGTATGGGCCAGAATCTCTGATAGTCTCAGCTTTAAATTGACAAAAACAAACAAATATGAAGGGATAACTAAATATGAAACATATGGAGGGACAACAAAATAAAGGTTCTATATATATTCATTCAGCTAAAAGGTGTCTACATATGTCAAAGTTTCATTTTGATTATACAGTAGAGGAGCTTAGATATGGTAGTAAGAAGAATGCTGAAAAAACAAATACTAGCTGCCACATATAAGAATAAAGAAGAGTGCAAACAAGCATTGCATGTTGTTTAATCTACTTCAGGAACTGCGTGAGCTCCAGAGCCAGATCAAGGACACTGCAGTCGTTGTGGAGATGGACAACAGTCGCAATCTGGACTTGGATGCGGTTGTGGCTGAGGCCAGGGCACAGTATGAGGATATTGCCAACCGCACACGTGCTGAAGCAGAGCAATGGTACAAAACCAAGGTAATCAGTACCTCAAAGAGTATCTAATGCTTAGCACATTCCGCTACAGCTGCATTGGTTCGTCAGATCTTCCTTTTTTGTTGCTGATTTAGTATGAAGAGATGCAGACCTCCGCCAACAGATATGGAGATGATTTACGAGCTACCAAAACAGAGATTGCAGAACTTAACCGCATGATCCACAGACTGACATCCGAGATTGATGCAATCAAGGGGCAGGTATGGAAAGCCATTTTCTAATATATGTGTTTATACCAAGTCTATACCTAACCCAGTTGTGCTGACAGTGTTATGTGATTAATTGTTTTTTTAGTGCAAAAACCTGGAGGACCAGATTACTGAGGCTGAGGAGCGTGGTGAGCTGGGTGTGAAAGATGCCAAGGAGCGCATTAAGGAACTGGAAGTGGCACTGCAGAGAGCAAAGCATGACATGGCCCGTCACATCAGAGAGTACCAGGATCTGATGAATGTCAAAGTCGCTTTGGACATCGAGATCGCCACCTACAGGAAGCTGCTGGAAGGAGAGGAGCACAGACTGACTAGCGCCATTCAGTCTATCAACATCTCAAAAAGTAAGTCATTCCAAAAAGTTGCAGTAAGTATTACATAGTTTTCTTTTAACCTATTTTTCAAACTCCGTAATTGATTCTCAACAGCGAGTTATAGTGGTTTCTCCAAGTGAAAGAGCACCCCCATCAGCTACCCCATCAGCAGTCCCAGAAGCAGCTGGAGTTACCTCTTCAATGCTTGCTGCAGCAGCTAAGATGCCACCCAGATCAACAACATCAGACATGAGCAATGATGGCAACGTTCTGTCTCAGGCATCCAGGGTTGATTATTTGATCTGTCTAGAGTAGCAGGGCAGCTACAGTTTGGACCAAAATATTTATACCACTGGCATTTTCAGACGAAAAACATTTTCTAAGTTTCTTTTTGTTTGGGCATGATTTTTTTTTTTTCAGAAATACAATTTAAACAGAGAATATACAGAATATAATACTTACGTTTAAAATATCTGTTCAACCCATTTCTTACCCTTCCTAGTAACATAAACCACATGTTTTCTTTGAAATTTTAAACCTGCTGATACCTGCTTACCAGTTGTTAACATATGTCGTCTGGTATGTTGATTTACCTTTGGTTATTAGTTCCTAGTCATGGACATTAGAATGCCTCCTTGCTATCACCCTTAACCTAAGCTCCCTTCACATGTTGCAATCTGGTTCCAAGATTTATTTGAACTTTCAGATGAAATATTTTGGTAAAATGGGAAGTTTACTGTCTGGGCTATGGCTAATTTTGGTCATAACTGTACCTGTCTGTAGTTGCATACTTGGATCTCACTCATCTTTACTGTAATAATTAGGAGGCTGCTGTGGAGATAATGTCCTAAGATAATGTTTTTGCTACTAAACCAAATAAAGGTGTGTGATTCAATATAATGGTATTTTATTTACATTGAAAAAGGACTTTGTGAGAAAAAATAATAATTTAAGGATATAAACTTGAATTGTGTAACAAACAGATTTTATTTGTAGTTTGTCTGTAAAGGTAATCTTCTACTTTTCTTGTGCATTACCTATATGAGAGAAGAAGCAGCCACATCAAAAGGCCCCACATTATGAAAGCCTGTCATATTATATGCATCTTAAATAGAATAGTAAAATGTCTCAATTACTTGAATAACTTTACATTTTCCACACTTTAATGCAGACAGAAGCTATTGAATTTGGAGCAGAGCCTTTGATGAAGAAGCTGCTTAGTCTTTCTCTTCATCTGGATGCCATTACAATGGCCTTTGATAATAACCTACAAAACCTTTTCTATTATTAGGACCTGCCATTTATATCCCATATTAAACAGGTTTCTAGAATTGTGTTCTTTCATCTTCGGAATATTGGGTAGTTCTGAAAATTAGAAATATCCAGGAGTAGCAAAGAAGAATTTGTCTTTCTTGGTCTTTCTTACTTCAAGGTTGGACTGTAGTAATTCTTTACTATCAGGAAGTCCACAGGCTGTAGTTAAAAGCCTTCAACTGACCCTAAATGCTAGAGTTAGAGTTCTGATGAATATTAAAAGAGCTGACATGTCTTCTGTAATAGCTTCTCCTCATTGGCTTCCTATAAAATCCAGATTAGAGTTTTAATTTTTACTTTTCACACACAAAGTCCTAAATAACCAAGCTTAGTCTTATACTGGAGAACTGCTTATTCCTCATGTTTCTCACAAAGCACTTCACTCTCAAGTAGTGCTTGCTATAATTTCTAAGAGTAGAAAAGGTATATTTTAGTTAGGTCCCTTCACTCTGGAAAAATTTTCCCATTTAAATTCACGAGGCTGTCAGCCTGTCTAGATGTGAGTAGTCCTTATTTTGTATACTTTCAGAAAGTGAAAAGGCAGGAAATGAAGGGGAAAGTCTTGAGGAAAAGGTAAACAGGCCTGAAGTTAAATATGGTTTGTCTCTCATGTCTGCATCTCTCTCCTTGAACCTCCAGTTGGTCATGGCAGAAGGCGGCTCACACTGAGCGTTGATGCGGTTTTTGCTGGTTTCAGACAATTCTTATAGCATCAATTGGCATGTTATCTCAAGGTACTTTACAAAGACAATTCAGTCAGATAATACAGTCACATAAGTTCTCAAAGGAAAGCCACTGAGTCATCGACTTTGCAGAGCAAACTCATTCGTCCAGGAGTAGTGTGGCAACAGTAGATATTCTCTGGCATTGTGCCATTTACTTTACAGCAAGCCTTCAAAGGAGCAGGCATGAGGTGAAAGTGGAGAGAAAAACTCCCTTCTAACAGGGAGAAATCTCCATCAGAACCAGGCTCAGAGTGAACAGCCTTCTGCTGAAGCTGACTGGAGTTTTATGGAGACAGAAGACTTGTAGACCTTTAGTCACTGACTGGTACATTAAATAGAATCAAGATCGTATCAATTCTGTATTGTAATAAATATGTTGTTTTACACCCCTAATTAATACATAACAATAGGTCATGTGAAAAATAATGAAAAACTAAACATTTTCATTCAACAAAATATCCAGTTTCAATTCTACAAATATGTCTGTGCAGCTATTACTCAATGTCACTACTTCTTGCTTCCAATGGTGGGAAGTAACAAAGTCCTTTTACTTGTTTACTGTACTTAAGTACTATTTTTGGGGATTGAATTTACTTGAATATTTTTTGTGGGGTACTAATAACTTTAATTCCACTGCATTTCAAAGTCAAACATCAAACTTTCTACTCCACTCTGTTTTGAGGAAGCTTTTAGTTAATTTTTTCCTTTTGGCTCAGCTTAGCTTCCTAATCTGCTGTTGCTGTTTTTCTTTCTTGAAATGCAATACAAACATGTAAGAGAGAAAACTTTAGGATGGTATTTGGACACCACATTTTCGAGATTTGCATACAATTCCACATATGTGAGAAACTCAGGACATATATTATTTGTAATTAATAAATATTATTAAGGCATCAGTCGTTGGCATGTGGCCAAGTTGTTCAGTACACTGCAAAAACATTATAGAGATAAGTAAAAAAAAAATATATGTGTACTTACCCTTAATTTGAGCATGTAAATAGATGATTTGCCAATGGAATTAGTTTTTTTTTTCTCCTAAAATAAGATGCTTTTATAATATGCTCTTGAAATAAGACAAAGAAAGTCTTTATTCTTATTTTAAATGCAAATGATCATGTTCAATTGGCAAAGTGTCTCACTTATCTCCTCAGTTCAAGAAAAAATTCACTTATTTAAGCTAAAATGACTTATTTAGATTTCCATTTTTTGAAGTGTAGGATGAGTTCTCAAATCAGAGTTACCGTTTCTTTGTCGTAATAATAGAATCAGGCTTAAACCTCTATTCCATAGTGAAAGTGCAGAGAGAATCAAGACACTCCAGTTTTCTTTTTATTTGTTTATTAAATAACAAATAATATTAAAAATATCTGTCTTATTTTTTGTGGCATTTCTATGCTGAAGTTCTTGACAGACGGCACATAATTTGTAGCAGTGGTTCTACGCATCATTACATCAGGTGGTTTCTGAAAATTATACAGAATTTCCTGGTATTTGACCATTTTATTTATATTTTTGGATACTGAAGTACTTATAAATGCATGTACTTTTGAATACTTATCTGAATACTTGAAGACTTGAATACTTACTTACCTTTGAAATATTTTTAAAGGTGAGTATTTCAATACTTTATCTTGAGTAGATGTTTGACCAAGTAACTTTTACTTCTATTTGAGTAAGGTTTGACTATGAGTATGAGTATCTTTGTCCACCACTGCTAGCTTCTTGGAGTTTAAAGATCAATAACCCTAAGCTATGAATCACCTCTCCAGAATTATTATTTTTTTTAGTTGAGAGCACAGTTTCTGGCAAACTTCTTCACTCCCTGTCTTACATAAAGCCCCTCTTCATTCTGGCATAATCCATTTTTAAACCATTGATAATTTTTCTTCCACCACACAAGGTTTGAGACAAAACATTTAATTTCCTTAAACACTTGAAGCACAAATACTTTGCTTGGGTTTACTATCTCTAGTTGTTTTCGGACATGGAACATTAGCTTTGCACATAGCCCCAAAGAAAATATCTCTCACTTTAAATAAATTAGAATTATTTTGAATAATAAACAGCAACTATAACCTCCTGCCACTGGAATATGTTGTGGTGTATAGATAGAATAGCTCTGGCCAATTAATGTCCCAACAGGTCAGTTGCACAAAATAGTCATGTCTGGCCAGTGATAACTTCCTACCCCTAGGCTTACTAAGTTACAAGTTGATTGGTTCTTACTACTTAATAACCTTTTTAGAAAAGTCTTGATACCCCATGAAAAAGGGTAGTAGGATGTTAGTCTGACTCTGTTTGAGAGGATAATTCCTCTCATGTCTCTTTAGATGCAGGGTTAAATTTTGAAATGGCTCAAAGGACAGGATAAATCTCTTCATCCCGGAAGAATATTTAAGCAGAGATAAAGAGAGATAAACGTTATCAAATGTTTGTGTTATCTTTCGTTTTCATTTTTTCATAGCAACGTCAAAGTGCAATGTCCCAGAGTCCCGTATCTGCTTTTACTGTTACTAGTTCTCTTTAAATAATAAAACAATTTCTTCAGCAATATTATTGCCCACACACTTTCAGTCTCCTGTCTCCACTGTCATCTTTGTCCTCTCTTATCAAGCATGCTGTATATCACAAAGCTGTATTTGTTCTTTGGAATTCAGAAAATAAAACTTTGCCCCACCTTTTTTTTGTCCATCTGGATTGACAAACAGAAATCTATGTAGGAAAAGGATTAACTAGCTCTCCTTTTATCTCATCTTTCTTAAGTTGCTTTAAAAAAAAAAAAAGAAAAACTGAAACAAAGAAAAAATAAACCCTAGTGGTCAGTGAGTGCACTGCAAAAGTACATGAAAATATTTTATTTCTTAGGTAGTAAAATAAAAATGATTTTGAAAACATTAAATCTGACTTGCATTGTAAGGAACGAATTGAAAAATTAAACAAGCTCTTATTAACCAAAACGTTTCTCTCATATGTGTGAGTTCACCAAAACGAGTCAGAGGAACATCCTGGAAGTAAAGAACATTGGTTGGGCTAAAAATGGCATATTTGCTGTTATAAGAGCCCTAATGCAGGCCTGGTTAAAAGCCCTAGAATGAAAAGACAGGTTTTCTTCCTTTAATGGTACTGTATGCTCATCGATATTTATATGAGCTGTGCGCTGCTTGGTTGGTTTACAACGAGCGAAGCTGCTGAGTAAAGACCCATCATAGCAACAATCACTCACTCACTGAAACATCAAAATTGTTGATATGGTAGGGTGACCAGACGTCCTCCTTTTCCGAGCCATGTTTTTCTATTCTATGCTTCTATGCACTATTCATGCTTAAAAAAATGTCCTGGGGGAATTTCAAAATTATCTGG